TGAAATTCAAGAGTAAATGAAGGAACCATAATTGAATAAAAAAATGCATCATTATTTAAGAATATTTTTCATGTAAAAATAAGGAGAATGCAAGTTCAAATAAAAAACTTTTGATACTACAAATGGTACTTCAAATGAAGAAGAATCAAGGCATAGTAAAAGGGTTAAAATATTTACTTTATTTGGCCTAGATTTTCTGAACTATTTTAGTAGAAAATGATCCAAAGGATTTCGATAAAGCAATGTCGACACCGGAAGCACCGTATTGAAAATGAGCTATCAATAGTGAGATGGATTCTATAATACAAAACCATACTTGAAGGTTAGTTGATTTACCTAGTGGAAACAAACATTTACTGTGTAAATTGATTTTCAAAAAGAAACTAAAAATTCGAATAGATCCATTAACAACTATAAGGCTGGGATATAGACAAAATGAAGGACTTGACTTTTTTGATACCTACTCACCCATAACTAGATTCATTTTGATAAAGTTGTTAATTGCTATTACTGCATTATATAACCTTGATATTCATCAAATGGATGTAAAGTCGGCATTTCTAACTGGTGAGTTAGAATAAAAGATATACATGGAACCGTTGGAAATTTACCTAACATGTACAGTGAAAATTAAACAAAATTTTCAATTCTCATCAAAGATCTTCTTTGTGCTTAAAGAAAAATTGTGATAAAGAATTATATCTTTGTTGAATTTTGAAAACTCCTTTATTTTTTTTTTGAATTCAAATAATCACGATCTGCAATCCACAGTTGTTCAATTGTTCAGCCTCTAATAAAAATCTACACAGGGAATAAAATTGAGAGAACTTTGAGTTTTCTTTTCTTGTGCTAGAAGGAATATGAATTGTATTCTCTGCAATTTTTCAAACCTTAATAGCCTATTAATATAAGTCCAAATGCGCTTGGCCTATCTCTTGACTTAATCCGCTCCAATTATCAATCAATCTAATTAATTAAATTTAATTCATGAATTAATTAATCCGGCCCTATTAATAAGCAACCCAATTATTTAATTATATAACACTTGTGGATTAATTAATTGGTAAATCTCATTCTTTTAATTCTCCTTTTGTGTATGACCTATTAAGTTGCCAATCAAGATATCTAACGACGTGAATTATCATTTTGATCCAGTCAAAATCAATAAATTAAAATACCCATTTTGAATTTATTACCAATTCACATTCATTATCTCAAATTGATATTTTAGGGCAATATATGTAACGTAAAATGTCACATGGTATGACAATCAAACTTGTTAGTACACTGAACAAATTGATATTTCATCAATATAATCCGATCAATTACGAGGTATGGATATATGTTAATCTCAATTATTGATCGTATATTTCATTCTACTATTAAGTTAATGTACGTCGAAAACTCCTTTTCAATTGAAGAGTACACATTGGTCAAGGATTTCGTTATCAACATAACTAATTAAAATGTAGATTATAATCTCTTACTATCTAAGAGTGGCAAATCATCAATAAATGATTCACAATCTTCATACGATACTTGACACACCCGAATGATGCAGTATTTATGGCCCTTGGCAAAGCAACATCCAACATCACCAAAAATATTATTGTCTTCATATAAGGAATTATGATGATCTCAAGTCAAATGACTAATTTTACTACCAAACGTTAGATATTAACCACTAATACTCAAATAGTTATTCATATGAAATCTACTAAGAGGGTCTTCAATGTTTTGTTCTATAACAAAATATCCACGTGTTCATTTAAGTGTCACCGTATTTTAAGTTGTGAGATCGGATACTTACTTTGAAAGTAAAAAATTGCCACGACATGATGGTCTATCCGTAATAATGATATCCATATCTCGTTATTACCTACGATCATGAATGATTTAAAATTCAGTCATATACAATTTATTTTTGACAATCACAACTACTTGTGATTGACAAATCACTTAGACTTAAATTTACGGTCTCTATTATTCAATACCATTTATTTGAATAGTGATTCAAATAAATAATAGATCTTGTCAAAATAAACGTATTAAACACATTTAAAAGTGTTTACAACGTAAATCGATTATACTTAGGGAATAACACTTATAGAAACAACTGAAAGGGTTCGTCTCTCCTAATCACAAGTAAAGAGTTTGTACATTAGTTAAATCTTTTTATAAATTGAAAAAAGCTCCTAAACAATAGCACAAAAAATTTGACAAAACGATGTTGTCTAATAGAATTAAGATAAACGAGTGTAACAAATGTGTATACATAAAATATACACCGAAAGCTTATAGATGACATATTGATAATGACCAATAGCTATGAAATAATGCTAAACACCACTAGAATATTAATGAAACATTTTGATGTGAAAGACTCGGGTGTGGCTGATGTGATATTAGGGATTAAAATCTTTAGAACATTTATACTTTTCCAATCTCTATATATTGAAAGTATACTGAACAAGTATAATGCACTTGAGGAAAGTCCTGTGAAAACCCCTATTGACATGAGTTTACACTTAGTAAAAAATATAAGGTAAATATGTGTCACAATTAAAGTATTCACAGGTTATAAGCAATATAATGTATATTAAAAACTGCACTCGACCGGACCAGACATAGCATTTGTTGTAAATAAACTTAGTAGATTCCCAAGTAATCCAAGTCATGATCATTAGAAGGTTTTAACAAGGGTTTTTAGGTACTTGAAGTATGTCTTAACCAATAGATTACACTTCAAAAAATATTTCGCGATATTAGAAAAATATTGTGATGTGAATTGGACATCTGGCATGAATGATTCTAAGTCTACTAGTGGTTATGTATTTATCATTGGTGGAGCTATTATATCATGAAAGTTGATAAAACAAACGTGTATAACTTGATCAACTATGAAATAAGAGTTTATTGCTTTGGACAAAGTTGAAAAAGAAGTAGAATGGTTTCATAACTTCTTGGAAGGCATTTCATGTTGGCCTAAGCCGATACATGCAATAAATATACATTGTGATAGCCGATACATGCAATAAATATACATTGTGATAGTCAATCGACGATTGGAATGGCACAAAATAACATGTGTAATGGTAAATCTAGACATATACGTCGTAAACACAATATTGAGTAACTGATCTCAAACAGTATTATCTACATAGATTATGTGAAATCAAAGGAGAACATGACAGATCCACTTATGAAGAGTCTATCTAGGGATCAAGTACGTTACCTATTGAAAGGAATAGGATTAAGCCTACTACATAAGAATCTTTGTAATGATAACCTTACATTATTGACCGGAGATTTCAAGATCTTAGCTCAATGGGATAACTAGGTTATGAAGATTAAATGAAGCACTCGGGTTAATACTTGCTAACTCATTCGTATAATAGTTAAAGTACTTTCTACAGAATGTGAAAGGTTAAGTTATGCTTTGAATGATTTATATATCTTGATTAAGTCAAGTAGAATATGGCAGAATACTCAATAGGAGGTCACCTATGTAAGTATAAGGTAGGGTCGCCTCAACAAAAATTGTTCAAGGCTGAAATTTTCTAGAACACTTATGAAACCTAAGAGCAGTTCAAGGTCAAAATGAACAAAGTCAAGAGAACAATGAATGATTTGGGAAAGACATCCGTGTGAGTATTATTATCTTAATTTACACCAACGGCTGAATGGTTCAAAATATCACGTTCACCTCTTAGCCAAATAAATTCGATACTATATAACTAAGGAAGGTTCAAAGCGATATTTTTCTACTTTCTCTCTATTTTTCTGCTACATTTCTTGATAGTATATAGCATGAACATATTTGAATTTTCATTCATGTAGGAATTGTTGGAATTTGGTTTAAAGATTGAAAAAAATTGGATAAGTATAAAACATGAAAAGTGACTTTGTGTCAACTCCGACAAAGTATTCGGAGTTGATCTGATAGTCAAATTATAAATATAAATAAACTAACTTGTTCTACTCGTTGAGTAAATCGTCGTGGTATATTTGAAATCTCAAAATCAATTTCGGATGAATGAGAAATTGCAATCCAAAGTTGGAAAGAAAAAGAAAAAATTGGCCGGGAAATTTACCTAACTCCATCACTTGCCTAAGCACTCAAATGATGAGATTGTTCTCGAGTGACAGGTGGGCCAAAAACTTCTATAAAAAATATGTCACTGGAGCTCGAGCGAGAGGCAGCGATAGCAGGGAATGCTTTCCTTCATGATAGTTGCTGAGTTTGGGATGTGTCACTTCACTCACAACATCTTATTTTCTACAAATATGACCCTTTGAATGTCTATTATACATCTCATATCATTTGTATTGAGCATTATATCAAAAACTTTCCAAAAATGATTTTCTTATAGAGGGAAGAATTTCGTTCGAGTTCGCTGTTAATTGTGGTTTAAAGTGCTTTTACGACAAGTTGTACCGCTGTATCTTAGGAGACAAGTGCCGTAATCCATTAGCATCGTTGTGGGACAATATTGTCTTAAAGAAAAAGTGTTAATCACTTGTCTCGGATTTCTCTTCATTCAATTTCTTTTCATCTACTTTCTTTCTTTTATCTTAGTTTACATAGTGTTTAATTAGGCTTATGCAAATTAAATTTAAAATATTTCTGTCATTTAGACAACAACCATCTCTTTATACAATATCACCAACACCTACTACCTATAATGTGAATCACGATCAAGTTGCATTGACAGGGACAAACTTGTGAGAAAATGTAGCATAACAGGGTGAGTTGTCCCAAAATATGATCGAAAAGATTGGACAATATTGAATAATATTAAAGAAGAAAAATGTTAATTATACTTACATAATTGTTAGACATGGACATACAAAGTGCACTGCTAAAATAAAATTGCAAAAATTTATGATGGAAATTCGCCCCCGTCGTCCGCTGTGGGTGTAGCGGATAGATAGCGAAAGGGAGTGTGGTACCACAATTATTAATTTCAGATGAATAATGGCAGCAAAAGAATCAGCCTACACCCACATGGACTGTTATTCAAATACTGCCAAAACACTCTTCTTCTACCTCTTCCTCTTCCTCCAAACCCTAACCCTCAAATCCGGTTTTCTATGAACCCTTTGATTTCAGTTCCCGGTCCAGCAGTTCCTGCCTGCTGTGAGCCACTTTTGTAAATTGCACTCTGATTAACCACTTTGGATTCTATCCCCAGCTGCCTTTTTCCTTTTTCACTTCTCTTTCTACTCACACAGATATTTCGTTTTCTTTTAGAAAATTTTTTTAGCCTTTAAATTCTTTATATAGCTGCACAACTTGTAATACTCCTCTTAACATAGCCCATCCTGAAACAATCAAGAAAGAGAGAGAGAGAGAGAGAGAGAGAATAAAATTTGTATCTCGTTCAATTCTCTCTATTTATTTGGTTTATTTTTGTTAGTTTTCCCTATTTTCTTCTTCCTCGATTTCTAATTCGATATAGACATGTCGAGCTACGTCGATGTGCCCGAGCAACTCTGCTACATCCCTTGCAATTTCTGCAATATTGTTCTTGCGGTATTCGATTTTAAGAACACTTTTCCCTTGGTGGGATCTTCTTTTAATGACCAATTTTTGTATATTAATTATGTTAGCATGCATCTATCTATATCAGTATGTGCATTTTTGTGGGTGTGTCCTTGCTTTCGCTACATGTGTGTGCATCCAACCAAGAAAGAAACATTTTTACATGCTGAATAAAGCTGGTTTTGGTTTCAGAGATCAGATTATTATTTGGTGTTATGTCCATTCATTTTTCTCTCTGGCCTTCTTGTCTTTGATACAGTCATATCTACATCTTCAAGACTTTTCTTTTCTCTCCTCTTCTTTTACAGTCAAAGAAAAAGTCATATCTTCATGACCCGAGAGAGAAACAAAGAGAAGGATTATTGTGTGGATTTTCTAAAAATATCAGGGTTATTCAAAACAAGAATTTGCCTATGCGCTGATAATAGAGACAATTCTTTAATCTGTGGATTTTTCTTCTGTTTAATAGCTTTTAGTTGCTGAAAAGATATCACTAAACCTGCTGACTGCAGCATGCTTTCAAAATAAAGCTTTTCAACTAATGTTTTCAATAAAATGAAGTTCCAACTTGGGGCTGTTTCTTGAGTTATATCAGTAGCTAGAAGAAGACCAAAGTTTTCTCGCAAAAAACTCTTGGACATACTTGATAAGTTGGACAGGACAAGATTAAGAAAGAAAACATTGTCCTGTTCATTACCCCTCTAGGGTTTTCTTAACCTCTGAGTTCATAATCTTGTTTATTATAAGTCCACAACTAGAAAATTCTGCAGGCCAGATGTTATCTACATGTATCTGTTATTGTTCATAAACATAGATCTCAAATTTTAAAGCATTATGAATTTGGCTTTTTGGTTATAGACTTTAACTGTTTTTTAATTTCTTAATCCTGAAGGTTCGATTTTCTGTGGTTGAATTTTCAGGTGAGTGTTCCATGCGGTAACTTGTTTGATATTGTGACCGTTCGATGTGGGCACTGTACAAATTTGTGGTCCGTGAACATGGCAGCTGCATTCCAGCCGCTGTCCTGGCAAGATGTTCAGGTTCTTTTAACGAAATTTCAGCTCAATTTGTGGGCGATGATCAGATCAATTTTATGATAGGCATCTGAAATCTGGGTTCTCTTGGATTTTGCATCTTTTGAGGGAATCAAAGTTCTTGCCTACATAATACATAGATCCAGTTTTTCAGAACCCTAAAAAACCCAGAAATCAAAACCTACAAGTTTTTGCCTTTTTGTAGATTTTTAGGGTTTTTTTATTATTAATATTATTTTTTCTTAACTTTTTAGTTGGTATATTTGATGATTTGATTGATGGGTAAGTTGAGGTTGGTTCTTTAGGTTTTTATGCCACCAGAGATTGTCCTCGACTGTGGAAACAAAGCAACTTTGGGTTCTCTTAGATCCCCGCTAGATCTCAATAAACTGTCAATCAAGCTGCCTGCCATTTTCTTAACTGATTTAGTCACTTCAATCTTGTTATTTTATCCCTTTTCTTTTCTAAAATCATATCAGTGCACTTTTTTTGGTCAAATCTTCTCTCTCTCTCTCTCTCTCTCTATTTGACAGTAAAGTAAACATTCCTCTACCGCTTCTTTGGGCTTTTCTTTTTTATAGGAAAGAAATTATTTACGTATTTGTAATTTATTTCTTCACTTAACAAAGTTAATGAAGATGGGGTTTCTGTAATATTTCAATTTCAGGCTCCTAATTACATTTCCTCTGAGCACAAAAAGATCGAATTTGGTTCTTCTTCCAAATGCAACAACAAGATGGCAATGCGACCTCCCATTTCGGACAACACTGAACAGAGGATCGTGAACAGACGTACGTTTCATTAATTTATATCTTCCTTCTTAGCAGGTCAAGTGTGGAAGATAGTACTAAATAATTTTGTTCATTATATCGTAAATTCTTGACAAATACTACTAACAATTAAGAAACATAACTTAAATTAAAACATATATAATTCACTCTATGTTTAGTTGCAAGTTATTTTAATATTTTGTTCATTTATTTCCATGTTTTACAGCTCCTGAGAAGAGGCAACGCGTACCATCTGCATACAACCAATTCATAAAGTAATGAAAATTATTTTCACTTACTTAATTATCCCCTCAAGTTTCACTTTTGTGCTATTGTAACTTCTAGCACCTTAAATTTATCCCTTAACTCTGAATAGAATGTTTATGTTCAGAGAGGAGATTCAGAGAATCAAAGCCAATAATCCAGAAATAAGTCACAGGGAAGCATTCAGTACTGCTGCAAAAAATGTAAGTGGAAATATATTTTCCCAAATGTACCTTTTTTTTTTTTTTAGTCTAAATTTTTGGGTAATGACTTGAGAACTTTCTTTGTTATAGTGGGCACACTTCCCTCATATTCACTTTGGGCTGATGTTGGAGACTAATAACCAAGCTAAACGAGGTAAATTGATTGATTTTAGTATAAAGTAGGATTATTTAGTGGAACACTAAAAGAAATTTCACTTTTAACGACAAAATTTCTGTCGTAAAAGTGAATTTTTTGTTTATTTTGTCAAAATTTTCCTTTTATTAAGTCAATAATTTGAGAAGAAGATCCACCAAACATTAGGACATGTCTACTATGTGAAATCGCATAGGTTGGACGAAATTAAGGAAAAGATGCATGTGACCAAAATCGTCATCTATCATCTTTAATGTTTAGTCAATTTCGAGTCCAATGTACCCATTTATCATGTAATTAGTGTTTCAAGCTTTCCTTGGGAGATTATAAGTGGTTTATTTATGTGTTCTTTTTGTGTAGCATCTAGCAACCTATGGTCAATATTGTGTTCTAACTAATACAAACTCTGAAATTTTCAGACAAACTGATATTAGTCATTTAAATTGTTGGGTCTTTTCTGACACAAATCATCATAATAAATTCATGCTAAAAAAAAAAATAAAAAAAAAAAAAATAATAATAATAATAATAATAAAAGGCTTTTTAAGAATATTATTAAATTATTTACTTTGTCTAACCTATATTTCTTTTTCATTTGTAGATTTGTAGGATTCTGAGAAACATGAAATGCCAAGGCTGGGCTACTAAACAAATGAAAATTGTTTCTTTAAGACACACTTTATGTGACTCTTATATTTCAAGATATTCTTCATTTGCTATTTATTGTAATTTTGTTTGTAAAATGTTACTTAAATGTCAGTTGCTCAATTGCTATTTTATGCTGTTATTTCATCAACATTTTCTATTTATTGTGTGCAATGAAATTTCTACATTTTGCTGGTAAATATTCCAAACATGCTAGGCCCCGTTTGGTAGGGATTTTTTGCCCCAAAAAATTGATTTTTTGACCGTTATTTTACTATTCAAGCCGTAATTTTTGACTTCTTCTCTCACATGTGGACCCCACTTTTCTTCTAACGGTCAAAAAATCAATTCTCAAAATTCCTACCAAATGGGCCCTTAAAGTTGAAACTTGAACAGTTCATTAAAGCTTTTGAGAAAAAAATATGTACCAACTGCACCAACGTTATATTTAAATGTGAGAGTATTCATAAATTAACTACGGATAATTACTTGCAAACAGTGTATATATGAAACCTTTATTCAAATAAAGTTTCAAGAAACCTAAATTTCTGCTATTGTAGTCTAATTATTTGATTTTTTCCAAATAGTTTCTGTTATTCTCAAATATTGACAAATAGAGACATACAAAATAGGAATTCAAAATAACAATATATAAATAGATATTCGAATTATATGATATTTGTGAGCCGAATTTTCCTATATAGTAATATTCATATATTTGATGTGTGTAATGGTAGATCTACCATTTTGTTATCAAGTTATTGTGATAAGGGAAAATGGAATTTTTTAGGGTGGAATGGAAATTTTGATCGAGTAAGGTTAAGATCTTAAAGAAAAGAAAAGGAAAAGAGGAAAAAAATTATTTGAGAAATATAGATACAAATAAGAGTGATGGTTTGAAAGGGTACTTAAATTTCTTTCATGTACTTGGAATGGGGGATTCTCAAGATTAGAAGACATCACAGGAGAGAACAATCGAGGGAAGGTCGGAACATAGAAGGCTCGCTTATTTTCTTTCTAGGGTTGTTTGAACCTCTATGGGTGTAAATGTACTTCTAGGCAATGGCTTGACCTTGACCTAGTCTCCTTGTTGGTATTAATTGGGTTGAAACATTATGGGTATGATTGGCAACTGCTTATAAATACTTGCTAAAAAAATTATCTACATATTTTATGAGATTCACAAGAATTGTAAAAGCGTGATCAAATTGACCAATCGATGGAGGCCGGAGTTAAACTTTGAGAGACGTCATAATGAAACGTTATTATTATACAACAAAAAAAGTATCATCTCTTGACAATAGCGCCTACAAAGTCAACTAATCAAGAATTTGGCAAGAGTATGGCATTCGTTTCATTGGATTAAGATGAATAAATTGTAAAAAATAAAAATTTATAAAAAGAATAAATTTGGTTCCAAAGACGATTCCGATTTCTTCTTCTTGGGAATCGGACCAATTCCCATTTAAAAATTTCGATTCCAATTAAAATGTCCGAATAATGAATGCATAGTGGGTTGGGAGGAGCATCAAGTGGCATGCAGCACTCAGCTGGCAATCCTCCTGCCTTTGCCTAGAAAAGAACAACTGTACAATTCTTACCTTGATTTCTGTTTGTGTGATAAGATTGAGATAGTTATGAATTGAACGGCTGAACAGAATCTGAAATGTCATATAGAGCATTCATTTTACCTTTTTACTTTCATAAATTTCTTTTAATTTTAAAAACATAAAATCTTTGTCTTAAAAACATTGGACACACACAGGGTGTATGGCCCACTTTTCACCACACTTGGCAGTCTTTTACTGGTAAAAATGTTTGTAATCCGGTTGGGATAAATTATTGCATGTGAAACTTGTAAACACAAAACATTAGGAACATATTTTATTATTATTATTATTATTATTATTATTATTATTATTTTACAAATTCTTTCATTGATTACGAGGGTGAAGAATATGAAAACTTCTGCAAGTTCTATTATTTGAGATTTTAAAATGCGTAATGTGTGACAATGCGTTTTGATTGAGTATAAACATCACAAGAATATTTCGCATATGTGTTTTTAATTTTTAATATTATTCTAAATATTTTAAATAAATAAATAAAATAAGATATTCTTTAAACTTCATACATAATTTTCAAAATAAAAGCAAAATATATTGCTTATAATCATAACATATTCTTCAAATTTTCAAAATAAAAGAAAAATATATTGCTTATAATCATAAAAATTAAATACTATAATTACTTGAACTTTATTCATATTTTTCAAATTTTTAATAATAACATAATGCTCAAAATCATAAATGCTACAATTATTTAGCGATAAATTCTTACAATTAGATTGGATAAGAAACATCGACTTAAAAATACCCTTAATATTGTCTAACTCTTTAGCATATTCCAATTCAAACTCCTCTTCACCAAAGTCATCTTACATGTTATTCGATATAAAATCATATTCATCAAGCTCCCTTATTTCAACTTGATAATTTTCGTTACCTCTTGTAAATAGTAGGATATCATTATTAACATCCTTATCAACATCCTTATTATCACAACTATAAACAATTCAAGATTGTTCATTACTTGCATCACTTGCTAGTAAAATTAAAGAAAGATCGAAGGAGAAGTTTCAAGCTTGACGTAGATAATTAGCAACTCTACAAAAAATTCATTTTGATTTTTGATTTTTTAAAAGTCAAACCGTATAGATTATTGTATATAATTCATGTACTTGGATAATTTAGGTTAATTTGATGTCTTTTGGGCTCAATTTATAGTTTTAAGTTATAAAAATAGATTTTGCTTTGTCAAGCTAATTTTTAACACAAATGCATAAGCATTTTGATGTTTAAGCTTTCGTATGTGGTCAACGAAATGGGTTGATCGTATTATCACGCGCATAACCTATATGCGAGATGTTTCGAAAATACATTGAGCATATGTGGGTATATGAGAAGTATATGTACGCATTTTAGAGCATTGCAATTACTCCAACCACTTCTCCACCACCAAAATATCTAATTTAAGACCACCCACCAGAGGCTGGCGAAGCGAAGCATCACCTACTCCTGTTACTCCAACCCCTTCTCCAGTACCTACAACCCTAAATCCTTCAGCTATCTCTCCCAAACAACATCAACCATCCCAAGACCATCTC